AAAAAACCCTCTCCAAAAACAACAACAACAAACCAAACCAAACTTTTCAGCACAAGCAGAAATTCTCCTCTCCCCAGACCGAAACCACTAACCGATCTGTCACCGGACCGAATATCACATCTCAACAGACCCCCCCATATTCCAACTTTTTTCCCTCCAAATTCCTTCTCTTGCTTTGTCTTCGTTTCACGTTTATTTCCTTTTTTAAATCAGGAAATTTCACGCCCAACAAGACATGAACTATGTCATGTACGAACGTCTGGCGCAGCGGAGAGGATGAAAAAGAAGGCGACGCACGAAAGTAGACAGAATGTCACGCATGTACTAGATCTTTCAGAAATGTAATTACAGATTTACGCCCTTATCGATACCATTTAGTCCCTTTAAACAGGTGGGCTGCTTCGATACTGCCAGTCAAGACCAACACTGGCTAAGTTCAGAAACAACATCCTAGAAGAAAAACTGATACATTTGTTTTTTTTAAAATTATCTCCGCATGGGCATCGAACACATCTCCTGCGTGCTACGGCGAAGCTTCTAACCTGTACCTTCATCACAGATGCCAGTGCACTACATTTGAACATGAACATTTACATGTAGCTTCCTAATAATTACCAAGTTCTATCTGACAGTTATGGTTGTTTTGAGTAACTAAGACCATGAGGTCAGAAACTAAATGTCCTGTTTGCGCTATCAAATTCATAAGATTATTCGGAGTCGTTATCAAGATATTTTAAAAGAAATGTATTCTAAAAAGCTTGACATTTTGTGAAACTCAAAATTTTTAACGTCAAATTTCTCCAAACAAGGTACTGAGCTGATAGAAGGTTGTAACTTTAGGGTAGCGATGTTTTACAAACGCAGGCGTCGCATCTCCTGCTGGACGGCAGTGGAGTTTGTTCCGAGAATCATAATCATGGACAGTCTCCGAAGTCATAATCTCAACCTTCCAACTTCATTCTCACGTCGTCCACTAAAAAACAAACAAACAACCAAAAAAAATAAAAAATCGGAACAAACACAAAACAACCTCCAGAAACAAACAAACAAGAACATCTATCGTCATTTGCCCCATTCCTGCCCCCACGAACATCCACACAATACACGATACGTCAAACTGCGGTTAAAACGGCAGCAATAACAACTGCCTAAATTTACGATTTAAAAAAAAAAGAAACAAAATTTAACAACTCTCCCGATTTCAGCCGCAAACAAAAATACAGTCTTGCAAGCCAAATAACAACAATTTGAGGGTGGGGGCTCTCGTGGCTAGAGGTTAAGGTGTTGGTCTCTCATTCAAAGGTCCCGAGTTTGAATCCGGGTAGCGACCGAAAAATTTTCTTCTCTAAAACTGTCTTCTTTCACCTCCTTCCCTG